GAAGATGGCATATGTGTAGCCATATTTTATTGTAGCCTTTGCCTATTTTTACCCTTAGCTTTTAGGTTTGCGAGTAAAGGAATTTAATGGTACTTCAGGCTCGCTGCTCTTTAGCTGTTGACAGGGGGGTCCTAGAGATAAAAGGGGATGTTATGTCTAGGTAGCATTCTTTCCTGGCCAGAGTCGGAGTTACACCAAGCCCTTGCCAATTTGATATGTTCCTAATAAACAGACTTTAATGGAAAATGGATGCCTTGGATTTTATTTCAGGGGACGAATTACTTGGAAGCTTGGCACATAGTTTGCTTGGATAGTATAAGTGTTCATGGGGCATGATGGCACTTGACAATCAGTTGTACCCTAGTTAGTCTGGGCAATCATGCCAACACTTGGATGGAATAAGTGGTTTATATATACCAACATGGCAGATGATGAAATTAGACACTAACTTCTCCCATAGAACTTAAAAGTTGGCAGGAGTATCTCTCAAGGTATTGGGCTAATTTAAACTCTATAGGAAGGTCATCCAACAAGGAGTTGGAATCAGAAAAATTTGTCTGCTGTGTTTGCCTTGGGAAGGAGGTCTTCAGAACTGCAAACTGGTGTCCCATCACCCATGGTAAACCTCTGGAGTGGCTGGGGTAACAGGAATGGGTACATGGGTGTTATTTATTTATTTATTTATTTATTTATTTATTTATTTATTTATTTATTTATTTATTTATTATTCGAATTTCTATACCGCCCTTCTCCTTTCGGACTCAGGGCGGTGAACAGCCAAAATAAAAACATTTATACATAAATACGATTAAAAATAGATTTAAAATAATTAAATTTGGTCCATAGTTTCAAATTTATCAATTTAAAATCCATATCAAAATTTAAAACCAACCATAAAATCATAAAATCAAGAGAGACCGGCTAACTGAAAGAGATGAGTTTTTAGGGCCCGACGAAAGGTCCGGAGGTCGGAGATCACTCGTATCTCTGGGGGTAGATTGTTCCAAAGGGTAGGTGCCACCACAGAGAAGGCTCTCCTCCTGGGGTCGCCAGCCGGCATTGTCTAGCCGACGGCACCCTGAGGAGGCCCTCTCTGTGGGAGCGAACTGGCCGGTGGGAGGCTATTGGTGGCAGAAGGCGGTCCTGTAGGTACCCTGGCCCTAAGCCATGGAGCGCTTTAAAGGTGATCACCAACACCTTGAAGCGCACCCGGAAGTCCACCGGAAGCCAATGCAGCTCGCGCAGGAGAGGAGTCACATGGGAGCGCCCAGTCGCTCCCATAATCCCCCACGCGGCCGCATTCTGCACCAGTTGGAGCCTCCGGGTGTACCCCAAGGGGAGCCCCATGTAGAGAGCGTTACAATAGTCCAGACGAGAAGTGACGAGTGCTTGAGTGACTGTGCGTAGGGAGTCCCGATCCAGAAAGGGGTGCAACTGGCGTATCAGGCGAACCTGATAAAAAGCCCCCCTGGCCATGACCATCATATGCCCTTCTAAGGACAGCCATGCATCCAGGAGGACGCCCAAGTTGCGGGCCCTTTCCGTGGGGGCCAATGATTCACCCCCAATAACCAGCGATGGCGTCAGCTGGCTATACCGGGATGCCGGCAGCCACAGCCACTCGGTCTTGGAAGGGTTGAGTCGAAGCCTGTTTCTCCCCATCCAGACCCGCACGGCCTCCAGGCACTGGGACATCACTTCCAAGGCATCGTTGGGATGGTCTGGGGTGGAGATGTACAGCTGAGTATCATCAGCGTACTGATGGAACTCCACCCCAAAACCACCGATGATCTCACCCAGCGGCTTCACATAAATGTTGAACAGGAGGGGTGAGAGGACCGACCCTTGTGGCACCCCACAAACAAGGCGCCTCGGGGTCGACCGCTGCCCCCTGTCAACACGGATTGCGACCGGTCGGAGAGATAGGAGGAGAACCACCGCAAAACGGTGCCCCCCACTCCCAGTCCCTCCAGCCGGCGCAACATGATACCATGGTCGATGGTATCAAAAGCCGCTGAGAGGTCTAACAGGACCAGGATAGAGGAGTAACCCCTATCCCGAGCCCTCCAGAGATCATCCACCAACGCGACCAATGCCGTTTCTGTGCTGTACCCAGGTCTGAAACCGGATTGGAGCGGATCCAAATAGACAGCTTCATCCAGGTACTGTGGAAGCTGTCGCGCCACCACACTCTCAACAACCTTCGCAATAAAGCGAAGGTTGGAGACTGGACGATAGTTAGCCAAAACAGCCGGATCCAGGGATGGCTTCTTGAGGAGAGGCCTCACCACCGCCTCTTTCAAGGCAGCCGGCAGGACACCCTCACTCAAAGAAGCGTTGATAATTCCCTGGAGCCAGCCTCGTGTAACCTCCCGGGAAGCCAGCACCAACCAGGAGGGACACGGGCCCAATAAACATGTGGTGGCGTTCAGCCGTCCCAAGATCCTGTCTACGTCCTCGGGAGCCACAGGATCGAACTCCTCCCAGATAACATTCTCAAGGCCTGCCTCAGTCATCTTGTCTGAACTAACCCAGTCAGTGGCCAAGTTTTCCCGAATCTGAGTTATTTTATCATCCAGATACTGTACAAAATCCTCAGCTCGGCCCTGCAAGGGGTCCTCCTGCGCTCCCAGATGGAGAAGGGAGCGGGTCACCCTGAACAGGGCGGCTGGGCGGTTATCTGATGACGCGATAAGAGCGGCAAAATAGCTAGATTTTGCCGCTTTTATCGCCACTAGGTAGGTCTTAATATGAGACCTTACCAGTGTCAAGTCGGATTCGGAACGACTGGCCCTCCAACCGCTCTCTAGGCGTCTTTTCCGGCACTTCATCTCTCTCAGCTCCTCGGAGAACCAAGGAGCTAAGTGAGTTCGGTGCCAGGTCAGAGGCCGCAAAGGCACGACCCGGTCCAAAGCCCCGGCAGCCGCACTATCCCAGGCAGCCACCAGGTCATCAGCCGAGTCGTGAGCTAGAGTTTCAGGAAATGGCCCAAGCTCCATCTGGAACCTATCAGGATCCATCAGGCGCCTGGGGCGGAACCACCTGGTTGGCTCCGCCTCCCTGTGATGGGGTGCGGCGGTCAGAAAGTCAAGTTGAAGGAGCGAGTGGTCAGACCATGACAAGGGTTCAGTATCTATATCCCCTATATCAAGGCCACTCACCCACTGACCAGAGACAAAAACTAAGTCCAGAGTGTGTCCCCCCATGTGAGTAGGGCCGTGAATTACTTGGGTCAGGTCCATGGCCGTCATGGAAGCCATGAACTCCCGAGCTACCTCAGAAGTTTCACCAATGGATGGCAGGTTGAAATCCCCCATGACCAGAAGTCTGGGGGTATCAGCCGCCACCTCGGCTATAACATTGAGGAGTTCGGGCAGGGTCGTCGCCATGTGGCAGGGAGCCAGGTACGTGATCAACAGACCCATCTGCACCCCACGACCCCACTTCACGAAAAGGGACTCACATCCAGCTATCTGAGGCACAGTGGTCTCCCTCGGATCAAGACCCTCTCTTCTAATGACCGCCACCCCCCCGCCCCTGCCCTGAGCTCTCGGCTGATGAAATGCACGGAAGCCTGATGGGCACATCTCCACGAGGGGAACCCCCCCTCATGGCCCAACCAGGGTCCTGTTATGTGGTCCTGTCCATTCTTTGAAGCTCTTTCCATTCAGTGTGAGTTGGAGGGGAGACGTTGAGCCCAAACGTTTGATTTTCAAAGTTTCTCAGTGAGTCCTTCTCATTTAGAAGATATAGAATAACCGAGTTGGAAGGGAGCTTGGAGGTCTTTCAAGGCCAAGTATTCAACCATTGGTTGACCAAGCAATGCTGTCCAGCTTATGTCCTAATACCTGAAGCCTATTGAATGGGGAGGAACAGTCTCCATTTTAATCCCAGTAGAATCAAGCAGCTGTGGATGATTGGTCCTCCCAGTGGTGGGGACATTGGATTTTTGGTCTTGCTTAGGACTTCTATGAAATCTGGGTGTCTCCCTGGACTCTCAGCTCCTCCTCCAAAAGCAGATGGTAGTGATGGTAGTTTTTTGTAAAGCTTCGATTTGTTCAAAAGAATGGGGAGGCTCTGAATGCCCAAAGATCAACAAAGAAGATGGAGGCAAGAAGAAAGGTTGGAAGCAGGAAGTCTCTGTTATTGGGATGAGACCAGGAATGGAACTGGATCCAGCATAAATTCACCCTTGAGAGAGATCTTGTTCCTGCATCTCTCAAGGAGGCCGTGGCTAGCCTTCTCCTCAAGAAACTGATCCCATCATACTGGCCAATTTCACCCAGGATGCATTATGCCTTCTTGTTTTATTTATTAATCAATTTGTTGTACTCCACTGAGTGTCCCTGTTAACTGGGAGTCTTATCAACATTATCAACAAGAATTTCAAAAAGTGTTATTTCGTCCTTGGAACATTTTTGAATGGTAGGACTGGGAACATGTCTCAGAGCTACACCTCTACCCACACTTTCCCCCCACTCTCTACACCCCCTCCCCAATTTAACGAAGGAGGTGTTTTCTCTTTTGAGTGGCAGTTCTAACATCCAATTCATAAGACTGAATTCTTCTAGACAGTCACTGGAACAGAGGGAAAAGGGTTCATTCAATTTCTCTTTGAAACAAAGCTATCTTGGTATTTGATATATTATTTTTCAAACACATACTCATAACAATGACGTATATCTATCTATGTAACGATTCTTGGAAATATATTCGAGTCCTTAAACAACATACTATCATCTGCATATAGAGGAACAAGACATTTGTCTTCTCAAATAACCAATTTTTAAAGCATTTTCTGATCTCTTATCTGTAATTTGATTAAACAAATCAGGGAGCATCTTCTAACAATATCTTCCTCCCTTTAATTAAATATATGAATTATTTAATTATTTCTTCAAGAAAGAACAAGTCATGATGTATTCATCCATCTCTCTCTCTCTCTCTCTCTCTCTCTCTCTCTCTCTCTCTCTGCCATCCATCATACATCCTCACAGACATCAAAGATTCTTGTGCCTCATTATATTCTCTCTACAATTCAGATTGGGCCTAAATAAAATAATGTAGCATTTGGGGAAAAAGATGCAAGCCAAGAGACCAGCCCCAGAGGCCAAGATGGAGAAGATCTCCACGGCCACCATGGACTTCCCTTTGGTGCTCAGGTAGGTGGGGAGGAATGAGATCCAAACACTGCAAAAGACCAGCATGCTGAAAGTAATGAACTTGGCTTCATTAAAGCTGTCTGGCAATTTCCTAGCTAGAAATGCCACCGTGAAACTGACAAGGGCCAGGAAACCCAGATAGGCCAGGACAGCATAAAACATCAAAGCTGAGCCTTCATTACATTCCAAGATGACCTCTCCTACCAAGGAATGGAAGTCCATGTTGGGAAATGGGGAAGAGGTTACCAGCCATGTGGCACAAAGAAGTGCTTGGACCAGGGGACAGGCTGAGACAATGGAGTTGGTCAGTGGCTTTCCTAAGAGTTTCCTTGACTTGTTCCCTGGCTTGGTGGCCATGAAGGCCAGAACCACCATGACAGTTTTTGCCAAGACAGAGGAAACTGCAAGGGAAAAGAGAATGGCAAAGGCAGATTGTCGAAAAAGACAGGTGAGCTTCCCTGGTTGACCAATGAAAAGAAAGGAACAGAGGAAGCAGAGCAGGAGGGAGACCAGGAGGATGTAGGTGAGATCTCGGTTGTTGGCCTTGACAATTGGTGTATTGTGATGCTTAAGGAAAATCACCAGAACTGCAGATGTGGTCACAGAGAGAAAAAGAGTGAGAGATGTTAATGAGTATCCCAGGGGGTCTTGATAGGAAAGGAAGTGAATCTTCTTGGCAATGCAGTGGTTCTTGTTCTTGTTGGGATATTGGTCTTCTGGGCAAGGATCACAGAGAGCTGCATCTGAAATCAAGAGTCGGTGTGAATTTCATGAGGAATCAACAAAGGCAAATCATCCATCGATATTGACACTGCTGGGAATAAATTAGCCAGAAAAACAGATCTGTTCTCTGGGTCAACCTCTCTGCTTTATTCTTCAAATCCAGTCATTCAATCTTTTTCTTTAGTAGGAAACCTATAAATTTTGCCTGATAATAAATTGTTGAAGAGCAAGAAAAGTGGCCTTTGGGGTAGCACAGTTTAGATTCATGAATTGAGAGGGTCTGGTGAAAACTATGAATATATTGAATCATATAAAAGATCCTACCAAAACTGATGCCAAAATTAATATTTTCCCATTGAATGACTTCCTTGAAGATCTACACTTGACGTGTGCTGTACCTGTCTGATTAGAAATGGTCCCTTCTGGACAAGGGTCACACTGATAGCAGCAAACTTCCTTGCCTTCTGGAACGCTCTTCCTCTCTCCTGCATGGCACCTCCTCATGCCACACCTGGCAAAGGGCACCTTCTGGAAGAGAAATATTTGAGATGGCCTAAGTAATAAACATGCTTCATTTGTCTATTTCTGCATTTCTGTTTCCATCTTTAGAATGTCTTCAAAAGAAACGGTTTACCAGGGCCTACCAGAGGGATAAGCTTCAGGGGGAATCAGGCCAGTGGCAATCCTGACCCTCCAGAATGGATGCTGGAGATTGGAACTGAGACCTCAAAATACAAGGAAGGCTTGTGACATGGAGCTACAGCTTTTTGAAAAGAATGAATCGTCAAAATCCAACTGAATGGGAATGATCCATGGAAATCATTTTTGCTTTAATGGCATCCTGGGTTCCAAGCAGGAGTTCTTCATAAATCTTACCCCATCTTGGACTTTTCAGGAGTCAAATTGTAAATGTGTTAAACTCAAAAGCAGGTTTTTCATCAAATCCCTGATTTTTTTTCTGACTGAATAGATCTATTTCCCAGTTAAAAGGCAGTTATGCATCCCCTGGAGTGAATGACTCCTTTGCTGAATTTATAACATTTCCTTCCAACTCACCTTTGTGGCCCAGATGATGTCATTGGAGTTAATGGGGAAATCTTGTCCTGGGGAAGCCGTGGAATCTATTTGTCCAACTTTGGTGGTGACAAAAGATTGATTGGGGAGGAAAAGCCAGTTGAGAAGATCGTAACGAGAAGAAACCAATCCACTTTCTGAGAAGGAGACTTCCTCTCCAGCACTGTTGTTGAACTTGACGTTCCTCAGATAGGGAAGAAGCTGAAAGAAAAGACAGCCGGATTAATTGGCTGAAAACCACACATGAGACACCCTGGTTTCTATCATAATGTGATGGCCATCAGCCTAGGAGATAGATAAATATCTGTGAAGCTAAATGAGTTCCCTTGATGGAGATCTAAACAATCAGAAGTAACATCAGATATTCAACTCCAAACATTCTCTTTATCATTGGACATTTGAATTATGGCTTCTTCAATGGCATAATATGGCATAATAAAATAATAATATGACATAAAATGGCATAATAAAAAAATGGGGTGGAGTCACAATGAATTCTAAACCACAGTAACATTGAAATGAATTCAGTGTCTTTTTATAGAGTGGATTCAGGCTACTGACTGAGAGAAAGTGAGGAGGTTCTACAAAAATTATTTTTAATAATTGCTATCTTAATCTCTTCTTAGATAGATCGATAGCACACAGATATTTAAACAGTAATTCAAGAAACACATATAGATAGTTTCCTATCTAGAGATCTGTTGCCCAGTCACTGAGATTACGATATTTTATATTTAATATGATATATTTAATATTTGATGAGAAGAGTCCTCCATTCCTCTAACAGCAATAAAATACCTTATGTCACCAGATTCCAAATTTTGGGCTTAGACAATTTAGAACTACGCCGACTTCAGTCTGACCTAAGCATAGTACATAAAATTATCTGCCACAATGTCTTTACTGTCAATGACTACTTCAGCTTCAACCACAACAACACACGAGAAAATAATAGATACAAACTCAAGGTAAACCGTTCCAAACTCGATGGCAGAAAATATGACTTCAGTAACAGAGTGGTCAATTCCTGGAATGCACTACCTGACTCTGTAGTTTCTTTCCCAAACCCCCAAAACTTTAACCTTAACTGTCTCCTGTTGACCTCACCCCATTCCTAAGAGGTCTCTAAGGGGCGTGCATAAGTGCACCAGCGTGCCTACTGTCCCTATCCTAATATTCCTTTTTACTTACTCTTTCCATGTATTCAAATTATGCTTATACTTTTACCTGTTACCTTATATATGCTTGACAAATAAATTTATGATTATGATTATGATTACCTGCCATGACTGAATATTTGAGATCCTCTTTCCAAGTCTTAACATGGCTGGTTGTCCTCCAGATCCATGCATGGCATGTAATGCATGTGCCACCGCATAAATGGCATTGTAGATATTGTAACTTTCACCTTCCATGCTTGTTTCAAATAAAAAAGATGGTAGATTCTGTAAATTCTCCTTTCCTGTACATGGTTTTACCCTCTTTGGAAGGATCCTTCCTGGTTTGTCCATCATGCAGCCAAACAACTTTTCCCAACAGTGCAGGAGAAAGAGGTCCCCTTGTGGCTTCAAGGGATCTAAAGACAGAAGGAAACGGCTGAATTCTGAGACATCCCCAGTGTGGGGCCTAAAATGCAGAGCCCCATGGAAGGGCTTTACTGCTTTCACGATGTCTTGATTCCTGGCCACAGTAAGTTTCCAATGAGAAGTTAAGATCCAAACTTTCCAAAATGACGTCTTCCTCAAATGTTTATATACACTGATTGCCACCTGTACATTTTTAATACTATCGGGGTCTCCAAATAGAACAATCACTTCAGCTTTAGACCAAGACTCCAAAATATGAAGTAATTTCAACATTGAAGTAACAAGAAAATCTGATTTCATTATTTCAGTGAAGGCCAAACAGACCTCCTTCTCCTTCAGCATTGGCATCAGAGATGAGACGAAACGTTCTCCACTGTCATCTTCAGGGGCAATAATCCCAACCCAGTTCCACTGGAAATGCAGAAGCAGCTGGACTAAACCCACACACTCAGCAAAGTCACTGGGATTAATCCGGAAGAAGGAAGGATAAATTATTCTGTCTCCTTGAGAGAACTCAAAGCCAACACCGAGCTGGAGAAAGTGAGATTCTTGAGAGAGTAAATTTTAGGAGTCATCATTATGTGGACTATGTCAGAAGCCAAGGGAGCCATACATCAAATCAATACAGAGAATATATTACACTACACTCTTATAAAGAATAGATTAAGAAGAAATTCCTTTTGGCAAGTATCACATTTCAAAGTTTTCTCACTGATCAGTTTTGGCTTCTATAAAAACATATCATGACACAAAAAATATAACTATATGTCCCCCAAAACTCCCCCTTTGTTTTCCACCTTTGGCTTCTGGGTGTGCTTCAGTTGTGTTTGTACTCTATACTGTATCCAGTGAAGCCCCCTTACCTGTGGGACCTTGAAGAGGCTGAAGATGGAGGCCATCTGCCTTGAGGATCTGGGATTGAGATCTCCAATGACAGAGAGAAGAGGGTCCTTCATGTCACATTTGTACCCTGGAACCATTTGGCCCCGGGTGGAGAGCAGGGAGAGGCTGTTTGAGCAAATCTCCACCTCAGACTGAGAATTGCTATAGATGTGGAAGCCAAGAGTGATGTTGGGGAGGAGAAGCAGATCCTTGTTGACCTCTCTGACTGCAAACACCAACGCTCTGAACTGCTGGTAGTTCTTGGGTATCATTCTACAGTAAGAAAATCATTGGGGAATTTTTAAGGAAATCTTGTGGGTGCTGGTGGATTTTTTAAAAATGTTCTTTCTAGCAGGAAGTTTCAAAGTCCATTGGGTTTGATTCATTGTTAAGGCTGTTCCTTGATTAATGGCCATGACAGAAAGGAGAAAATCCTGTTTCTCCATTCCACAGATTATTTGATACCCCTCCATCAGCCCCCACTCCCTTCCTTCACTTTGCTTCAGTGATGGTCATCCTTCCCTCTTCCACCCCAATTAATTTCTTTCCCTCTTGAAGCAGCTTCTTCAGGTCTGGAAACCATTGTTGAGCATAAGACAGATGGATTTTTCACTCCTTCTCTATACTTTAAATAGGTTTGACCTCATGATTGAGTTTTGCATCAGGAGTTTCTGTCCAAATTAATATTGCAAGTCAACTTCTTCACTAGGCCAGCACAGTTTCTAAGGTGTTGTCCTTCCTGACTTTTTTGGCGGTTTATTTGCTTCCTGATCAAGAGTTCTGGAAAGATGGAGAATTCTAGCCTGTTTTATGAGTTTGGTTCTTTATTGAGAAAAGCACAAAGATCTGAACTATGCAAGGACATGGCAAACATCACTAGAACAAGTATTTCTGAAAAGAGTCCCTGAATGTAAAGCAAAGCAAATAATTATTTACATCTTTCCCATGAAAAAAAAGTGGATAAAGTGTTCAAAGGTCATATATTCAGAAATGCATTGTTGAGGGTTTGGAAAAAGTACCAATATAAGCTGAACTATAAGATTTCTATATGGGCAAATCCCAGACATGCAATAGAAAATATAAGTATAGAGCAAAAAATAGAGGTGATTACCTATAGAGAGCTTCTTCTTTTGGAAAGGGGTAAGTTACAACTGAAATCTCTAGATGAATTAAAAGAAGAAGGGATAATTTATACTTGGTTTCAGTATGGTCAGCTTCAAGCTAGATGGAGGGAGGATCAAAAAATTGGGGTTATGCAAAATGAGGAAAATTTGGTGAAACAGATTAGAGATCAAAGTCAGATGCATATTAAAAGGTTTTATAATGCATTGCTGGAAATAGACTCAGAAACAGAATTGGTTAAGGATTGTATGATAAAATGGGCACAAAACTTTCAGGAGCCAGTGATGATGGAAACGTGGGAAAAGATTTGGGACAGAAATGTTAAATTTACGCAAGCACAAAATCTGAGAGAGAACTTTTATAAAATGTTTTATAGATGGCACTTAGATCCTAAAAAATTATCATGTATGTATTCGAACTTGCAAGCTAAATGTTGGAGATGTGAATGTAATGATGCAACTTATTATCATATATGGTGGACCTGTAAAAAAATCAAGGCATTTTGGATAAAAATTTGGTGGGTGATGCAGAACATTCTGAAAAGAAGGTTGAAATTTACTCCTCAATTGTTTTTATTGGGTATAATTACGGACTATACAGTATCAGAGACTAAATTGATTTTGAACTTAATATCAGCAGCTAGGCTGCTGGTAGCTCAATATTGGAAGAAGGACTCTTTGCCTACTATTGAAGAGTGGATATTGAAAGTAACAAACCTAGCAGAAATGGTGAAAATCTCGGCGTATTTGAAGGACCACACGCAAGAAAGATAAGTATCGGAATGGAGAAGATGGATTGATTATATTCAAAATAAGTATCAGACAAGAAAATATCAAATAGCTTATGAATGAATGTTAGTATTAGAAGTATTTGGTTATCTGTAGTGGAGTTAAGGTTTCAGTGGGGGAGGCAGTACTTTGAGGATAGGTAGATTAATCTAGTTTATGTTTGATTAAATGAAATAACTTGTATTTTGCTCTGGGAAGTCGGGGGGGGAGGGAGGGATGAAGGGGGGGAAAGAGTGGGGGGAACATGGGGGGGAATTTTGTATTTTTGTTTTGTAAAACTTTTCAATTAAAAAAAATTATTTACATCTTTCCCCTCTGGGTGAAACTTACAAAATATTCTTCAGAAGTCGAGATGGGTCTTTATTAAAGGTTTGGAAGTTAATTTTAATTGCAGTTCCCAGGGCAACATTCCCACCAATGATGAGATCACCAGGCCTGTAAAAGTCTCTTGTAGTGTGTACCGTGTTTGTCAACACACACCCAGTTTGCTTCCTCTTAGTAGACATTAGAGAAGTTGGAGGCAGGAGCCAGAAGAGCAGCAGCAGGAGGAGGAGAGGCAGCCCAGACATTCTTCTCACCTCCACTCCTAGATCAGAAATCAAGGTTTGTGCAGCTGTTGAACTGCTGGTAGCCCTTGAAATCACACCCAAATTTCTTCACCATAGAGCGAGAGAGAGACGATGCCACCTGGATGGTCCCAGGGCAAATTTACATCTTCCCCTTACCTATCCTTGGTCTGTGACCAAAGAGAAAACCAAGACCAGCTGAGTCTCACCAAAGCCAGGAGTTGCCTTTTCAGGAGGAGGAAACTCAGAGCCTATTTTTAAAAGCTTATTTTACCTCAGAATATTTTTCTGGGTTGAAATCCATGGGGGATACATTTAGAATTACTGTTATTCTGATAATTGCAGGGAAGACCAATATCTTACCCACTTAGCAATAGCTTCTCTTCATACATCAGAAGTCTGTTGTTGATCCAAGGAGCAGATGGACTTGAGGGTCAAGGTTCAGGTGGAATTTGTCCCACCTGAAACTGAGCCCCTGAACCCAAGATGGAGTCTGACCCATAGTTTGTTTGGATAGCATGAATGAAGTAGGGTGGCACATGACAATCAGTTGTCCCCTAGTAAGTGTGAACAATCGTAACAACATCTGGATAAAATGGATGGTTTATTTAAAACCCCATGGCAGGGAATGAAATAAGAAACTAACTTCTGCCATAGATTTTAAAAAATAGATGTCAAAGGTATTAGGCTAATTTAACCTCTGCAGGAGTGTTGTCTAACAACTCCTTGGAGCCAGAAAATTTTGTTTGGTATGTATCTTGTGGAGTGTGTTGTCAGCGTTCCAGAAAAAATCCCCTCTCAAAATAAAGACATGGAAGCAAGCATTGTGCAAAGTCCTCTTTACTAGAATAGGCAAACTGGCACATCTGGGAAATCCCGAATCTGAAAAGCCTGGGCTTTCCTTCAGTAATTCAAAGCTCCCAAAACCATCCCCTTTTCCCCCCAGTCGGTCACATGCTCCAGTCAACGTCCGTTCCACCTCGACTCAGTCCCTGACCTTGACCGATAGGAAGAATGCTATTATGTCTACTAATTCTCCTCTCCTAAATCCCCCCTCCTACTTTCCCACACCCGAGGAGATGGTAGCATTGAAGCTTCTGGCCTAATATGGCTTCCACGGCTGACAGGCGTCCCCCCCCTGCAGAAAAACCACATCCTAAAAATAAACCAGACAAACACAAAAGAAGGGGTTAACGCGAGCACCAATCCCTTCAACCCCCCCTCCCTCCCCCCGGAGGACCTTTCGGTTTGTCAGGAAATTTGTCATGAAACTGTTTCACAAGTGCATCAGCCTTCACATCCCAACTTTTAACCCAAGTAGCTTCAGCCAAAGGGTAGCCTTTCCAGCGCACCAAATATTGTAATCGCCCCCTGTAGAGTCCAGGATTTTCTTCACCTCATAAGGAGTCTCCCCTTGTACTACTAAAGGGGGGGGGTGCGGAGCAGCTGGCAAAGGTCTGAGGGTAGATTCTCTGACCGGTTTCAATAAGCTACTGTGGAAAACGGGGTGTATTTCCCCTAATATGCGAGGGAGTCTAAGTTGGACAGTCACCGGATTAATCACTTTCACTATAGGAAAGGGGCCTATGAATTTGAGTCCAAACTTCTTGCTAGGCAACCTCAATCTTAGGTACTTGGTTGACAAATACACCTTATCACCTATTCCGAAAGGTGGTTGGAGACCCCGGTGTTTGTCGGCCTGGGCCTTATACTTTTCTGCTGACTCCGCTAAAGCTTTTTTTGTATTCTCCCAACCCTTTTTCAACAAGGTCATCCACTCTGTTAGGGACATGGAAGTAGGCGGCTCTCTAGGCAACTCAGGCATCGGCACAAAATCCATGCCCGTAGTTATCTGAGAAGGAGTCAACCCAGTACTGCTGTGTTCTGCATTATTATAAGCAACTTCTGCGAACCGTAGCAAGTCCGCCCAGTTCTCTTGTTGATAATTGACATAACACCTAATGTAATGCTCCACCATTGAGTTCAATTTTTCAGCCGATCCATTAGTCGATGGGTGAAAAGCCGAGCTAAGTCCCTGGGATGACCCAATGGATCGTAGGAACTCCCTCCAAAACGTAGTGGTAAACTGGACCCCGCGGTCCGATATTATTCTTTTGGGGACTCCATGTAGCCTGTAGATGTGTTTCACAAACAACTTTGCCAGTTTTTTGGCCGAGGGTAGTCCGCTGCAGGCAGTGAAGTGGGCTTGCTTGGAGAATAAATCAATGACAGTCCAAATGACACGGTTGTCCCCACTGTCAGGGAGCTCAACTATGAAGTCCATCGCAATCTCCTCCCAAGGCTTGGTAGGTTCGGCTACAATCTGAAAAAGTCCAAGGGGCTTCCCTGGTCTGGATTTCATGGTGGTGCCGGTGGCACAGCTCCTCACGTAGTCTTCCACATCAGTTTTCATCTTTGGCCACCAGAATTGCCTCCTAGTCAAATGGAGGGTTTTTAAAAACACAAAGTAACCCCCTAGGCGAGAATCAGGACTTCTCTTTAGTACCAGGAGTACTAATACCTGTCAGCACTTCAAGCTGCATTTACTCTAGTGCTAACATAAGAAGGAGAGGCGGAGGCATCTGGAAAGGGACGTTTGACTTTTCACCTACTTATTTTCCCTGGAGATAATATCCCCTAGGAGATGGGATGGGAGGGGGGAAATTCCTTTGAGCTGGAATGGGAGATTAGGGATAGAATGACTTGGAAGATGGCCAAAGAGTGCAGGAGAGTGGGGAATGGAAAGGGAGAGTTTTGGGTCTGGAAGTCAGTGTTGGCTTCGATGGAGTCGGGTGTGGAATGTCGTGCTTAATAAATAGGAGTTTTCCTTCAAAGACTTTGTTTGAAATGCAATTTATTTGAGACGACCTCAAAGCCTGACAATACCATTACCATTTCAGATAACTGACTGTCTAGTCTCTTCTTAAAAGCATCCAGTGACAGAGTTCCCATGATTTCTGAAGGGAAGCTGTTCCACTGGTTAATTGTCCCCACTGTTATTTCTCCTTAATTCCAGGTTGCTTCTCTCTTTTTTCCAATCATTATTTCTTGTCCTGCCCTCTGGTGTTTTGGAGAATAATTTCACCCCCTCTTCTTTGGGGCAGCCCCTCAAATACTGGGATATTGCTATCATGTCACCCCTAATTCTTCTTTTCTCTAGACTAGCCAGACCCAAATCCTACAGCTGTTCTTCATATGTTTTAGTCTCCAGGCCTTTGATCATCTTAGTTGCTCTTCTCTGCACTTTTTCCAAAGTCTCAACCTCTTTCTTGTAGTATGGTTACCAAAATTGGTTGCAGTATTCCAGGTGTGGCCTTACTAAGGATTTTATAAAGCGGCATTAATACATCATGTGATTTTGATTCTGTGCCTCTGTTTATACAACCCAGGATCGTATTAGGTTTTTTGGCTGCTGCTGCTGCACACTCTTGGCTCATATTCAAGGGATCATCCATTAGGACTCCAAGGTCCCTCTCACAGTTACTGTTTTTGAGCCAGATCTCACCTAATCTGTACTTCGATAATTTTCTTGGCTTGTCCGGACAGCAAGGACCACAACCATTACAGAATAATGTCCCTAGGTGTGTATCTGTGATTTTTGATGTTTTTCTCCAGACACCCCTCCTAACATGGAGCCCTGGTAGAACTTCAGGGTTCCCAGAGGAGAAGTTGCTTCAAGGTGTAATTATCGCTGTCCTGTTCTCTGTGACTTCTTCTGTCACTTCTCCAGTGACTGCCTTGATGTAAACATCAGACTGAAGCAGCATGGAAGGGATCTTGCATCAGAAAAGGATAAATGCTTCAGATCAGCTCTGTGTGGTCCAGGGTTTGGGACAGGTAGGAGCTCTGCTCTTGAATGTACTTTCTCTCCTTTCCAGATGAAGCTCGGCTTGTCTCTGTCTGAATCAGGAGAACCGCTGGCATTTCCATCTTGTGGGAAGCCTGGAATTCTTCTGTATCTTCTTGGTGTCCTTGTTTAGAAAGGGATTGATTCAGCCCAAGGAATGATGGACCTCCTGATTCTGCTCCTGATGCTTCTGATGCTGCCGGTGTTCCAGCCAGTCTCTGGAAAGCTTAGGAGGAAGTGCCCGATGAATTTGGAGCACCGGGATGGAAAAACTCCACCAAGCTATTACAGGCCAGGAGACCATCTCATTAGCATGGTCACCACAGCAACATTAAGCTCAAATATAACGTTGCCTTTCAACATGGCTCCTTCTAGTCAGACTCACTCGTAAGTCATTCAGGATGATGGATTTGCACTCCTTCCATTTTCAGATGTAATATTCTCCTTTTTTTCCTCCTTATTTCACTTACTCCTATATGGAAGGACCCACCTAATTTCCTGGAAGAGACTCAAATCCAATGATGGAGAAACAGCTAAAAGAACTCCAGATTATTTCTTCCTCCCCATCCAGCCCTGAGTTCCTCTGATTGAAAACTGACTTTTGTTTAAAGTAACTATTGAAAAGGTTGCAATTTCCTATGTCAAGCCCATCCCTGGAAGCTTTCAAGAAGAGACTGAACTGCCATCTGTTAGGAATGGTTCAGGGTCTGCTTGGGTGAGGGTGAGGGGTTTGGACTAGATGATCTACAAAGTCCCTTCCAACTCTCTTAATCTGTATCTGTATCTATCTATAAATGCTCATTGAATGGTTTAATTTTTGCCTCTAGTTTTGGATCGGTCTTGGCTTAAAATTCAAAAGGGTTGTGTGACAAAGAGAAAATACATTAAACAATATCCTGTTATTGCTTTCGATGGTGGTGTTGATAATATGAATATTTTTCCACAGGTGGGCAGCTTCAGGTAGGTTATTTCCTGATAAGTTTAGAATTGTCCACTTCATTTTTGCCATTCACGTGGCTAACAAGAACCCACAGCTCCTGCACAATCTCACACTTGGCTACAACATCCATGACAACTCGCTGAGCTCACTGGCCACTTCAGATGCTTTGCTGGACATGCTCTCTACTGGAGAAGCCAATGTCCCCAACTACAGCTGTGGGAAGAAGGACGGTCTTTTGACTCTTCTCGATGCAGCAAGAAGGGACATCTCCATCCAGATGTCAACTTTAGTAGGCACCTACAAAGTCTCACAGGTTTGTGTGTGTGTGTGTGTGTGTGTGTGTGTGTATCTGGTAAAGTGAGAGCAGAGTTGGTGGGTGATCAATATATCCACTTGCATCTTCTCCATGGAATTCAGGAGCTGTTTTTCACCATAGCCATTTGAGATCTCATGGCTGGTGATTGGGATCTATATTGAGAAGGAGGCAACCATCAAAGCAGCCATATCTTCTCATGTCACCCTCTTCATGGCTTGGGTGGATTCTGCTGGACACTTGTAGCCAATGGGACCAAAGCTTACGAAGGGTGCATACTTGTACCATTATTATTCAGTCTAGACACGAATGACTTAACAGGACTCATAAAGGACCCTCCGGTTCACATGCCTAAGACACGAGATACATCTATTATCATCTTGTTATAAACTGAGAATGGTATTATTATTATTCTTATTATACCTGTAATAAAGGAGAATATTTGTAGCTCGGGGTTGACATGAGGGGTCCTTGGTCCTCTCTGAATTTGCTTGTTTTCTTGCAGATGTTTCTTTACCCAAACTAGGAAACATCATCAGTGCTAGTGATGATGATGATGATGGTTAGCACTGATGATGTTAGCCAGTTCGGGTCATGAAACGTCTGGAAGAAAACAAGCAAGCTCAGAGAGCACCAAGGACTCCCTCAAGTTGGGTTCCATACGCTGTAAAGAAGACTTGGCTCCAACTCCCATAAGAAGTATCTGATTCTTAATAAATCAGAGTCAAAAGTTATGAATTTTAAAAATGACATCATATCCATAGAGGGCTATTCAGTGGTGAGCCATAGAGCAAGTAACACCTTTCCTTATCTAGAGGTAGTTTTCTTGGAGACTGGATCTTTGCTCACTCTACATCAAAAGAGCCCGGAGCACGGATTTTGTGGGTGGATAAAAGTTCTTCCACCCTCAGAGCTTAATTGGGAATTTATAGAACTTTTCCCCTGTCTAAAATTGGGGTATACAATTGTTGATATAAAATTAAGCTGTAGAAACTGAAATTTCCAAAATTCTGTCATTTTTAACAGACAAAAGTTCCATTAAAAGGCAAGTATTTACATGCAAAAGTGCCTTTGGGAGATATTTATTTTAGTGAGAATGTGCTGGAAACAATCATTAAATATAGAAGATTTAACCAAGTCCCAATGAACTTGTCTTTCTGGAGCTCCAGAGAGAGACTAACACGTTCATCCTTTCAATCTCAATTATATAAGAAAGAAAACTTTCAAAAGCTTGGACTGCACATTATAAAAACAACCTATTGTGATCCTTATATTAAAACAACTTATTTCCTATGCTATCAGAATTCAAAATATATATATAATATGGCACTTTATTCGAACAAACGTTCACCTAAAATATGTTTGTTTGTTTGTTTGCTTGTTTGTTTGTTTATGTCAAACATGTACAAGATAGCAGGCATAAGTATAAACATGGACATGGACATAGGAAATGAGTACAAATAAATGGGGACAGTAAGACAGGGATGGTAGGCTGGTGCCCTTATGCAGGCCCCTTACAGACCTCTTAGGAATGGGGTGAGGTCAACAGTAGAGAGTCTTAGGTTAAAATTTGGGTTTTTTTTTATGAAACCACAGAGTCAGGTAGTGCATTCCAGGCATTGACCACTCTGTTGCTGAAGTCGTATTTGCTGCAATCGAGTTTGGAGCAGTTTACCTTGAGTTTGTATCTGAATCTGATTGCGGGAAATTATAAAGGTGATATAGAAGTATGATTTTCATTCTTTATTCATGTTCTTGTTTCCTTAATTTTTTTTATTCTATGCTTATATATGGTGTTCTTAATGTTCTGTGTTTTATATTCTGTATTTTTATAGGCCTCTTGACTAATAAGCAATAAACTATTCTAACAAGTTCAAGAGAATGAAGTTGGAAATATTAAAAGCTAATGATTTGGACTTGATCCAAAGCCAAATATAAGCATTCTTCGTTGTCTTTTCAGATCAGTTATCAAACTGCTTCAGAGGCTCTGAGTGATAAAAGTCAATTCCCTTTTTACCACCAGATGCTCCCTAAAGAAGGGATCCAGTACCCAGCAATTGTCCAATTGCTTCTCCATTTCAGATGGACCTTGATTGGCCTCTTTGCTTCAGACACAGAGAAGGGAGAGAATTTCATGAGGATTTTGACTCCTATGCTTGTCAGGAATGGAATTTGTGTGGTTATATCACAACGAATCTCAATGACTAGACAACCGACACTCCTCAGAGAGGCCTTCTCTAAGTGGAGACAAGTCAATGTCTTTGTTCACTTCTTAGAATACGTTTCCATTTCAGACGGAATCCTTCCTTTCCA